TCATTACTCCTATGTTGGTACACTTGATGGTGTCCCACATTTCTCAGAGACTCTGTTCAATTTTCTCCGTTGTTTATCTGTCCTATTTTCTGCTTGCATAATCTCTATTGAACTGTCTTCAAGTCTGCTAGCTCTTTCTTCTAGTTGAAATCTGCTGAGCCCTTCTAGTGAATTACTTATTTCAGTTATTGTACTTTTCAACTTGAGAATTTCCTTTTGGTTCTTCTTCCTATCTCATATGGATATTCTATATTTGATATGACATTGCCACCATATCTTTTACTTTTTAAAGAATGCTTTCCTTTATTTTTATGAACATATTTGTAAGGACGACTTTGAAGTCTTTCTATTAAATCTAACATCTACTTGCTATTTCAGGCAGTTTGCATTGCCTACTTTTTCCTCCCAGTGTACGAACCATATTTTCTTCTTTGTACATCTCATAATTTTTTGTTGGAGGCTAGCCATTTTAGACAATATATTATAGTAACTCTTGAGTATTGGTCCATTACCCACCCCAGGATTGCTTATTGTTTATTATTATTTAGTGGCTAGGTGGATTATACCAGTAAAGTCTATCCCCAAGCTCCCCCACCCTTGCCCCACACATTGTTAAGTCTTTGACCTATTACCCTGGAATGACAGTGATATTGGCAGGATTCTCTTTGCTTGACCACATCCAGCTGTTAAAAGTCCATGAATTGCCACCTGATTACTTACTCTTTGTTTTCATCAAAGCCTTGGGAGCATAAATTGTTCTTCAAAGGAATTCAACCAAATTGTGGCTTCTTTGAAGAATAGTTTCTGCGTTCATGCTTGTTATTTGTTCTGACCCCAGGAAAGCTCCTAACTGGCTGATAAGTCTGCATTTTCATTAAATCCACTTGTTTCACTGTCTTTCACTACAACCTCCATTGTTCTTGAGACTGTCTTTAGGTTTGAATTTCTCCATGGTCTGTTGTAAATATAATCAGTTCCTCTGGGAAGAGAATAAGAGCTATCTGTTTTTTTGTTTGTTTGTTTGTTTGGGGGGATCTGTATCTCCTTTTGGGTAAAATCTGTGAGCCAGGGCTCTGGAACTGGGGTTGGGGACAATGGAAAACTTCTGAGTGACACTCGTGCTCTAGGACTTGAACATTTGGAAGGGGGCATCCGCCTGAAGTGGAACCACCGACTCATGAGCCAGAGAAAGAACAAGATGATCAGGACCGCAGTCTTCTCAAACCATGGCACCCAAGGTGCACCCTCAGTCTGGTAAGTGGGAACTGAGTGGAAGAAGGGAACTTTCACTTCTCAACCACACTCACCTGGGATTCAGCCTCATCAGCACACAGCTGGGGTCAGGATGAGACATAATGGCATACTGCTCCTCCCAGGAAGAAAGCCCTCTGACTACAAGTCAAGGGAAGAGAAAGTGATTGCAATCTGAAGCGGAGTGCTGAGTCTCAGTAGGGGGCAGGTGAGAAGGGAGGGAGTGTCCTTGGTTCAAATATGACAGATTTTTGCTTTTTTATAAAATTTTTTTATGGGTTTTGGTATGTGTTTTTCCATTTGCTGTTTGCAGGAGACATTCATTTCACATATTCTAAAAGCTTAAAATCTCACTAAGAAATTTTAATATATTACTCTTTTGAAAAATATATTGTGACTTGTTTACAGACTTTCACTTCTTTCCATTGGCAACTACTGGGCCCAGTCTCAAATATGCTCATCAGTAGAGTTTTTTTTTTCTTCAGAGTTAAAAAAAACTTACAAAAAGCAAGTCTGCTAAGAATAATATCTGTTAAGATATTATTGATATATTCTGAATTCTTTTTAGGTTGAGAATATTTAGCTAAAGAACTGTATTAAAACATACTGGCATTAAGTTTTTTCTTTTTCCTTGAATACATTTGTTAATTATTTGAAATATAGTTGAACTTAACTGTTCATTTTCATTTAGTTTTAGAATTATTGTCCTATCATTGTTGGTTTTATTTTATATTTTAATATAAAACCATTAACATGATTACAAAAGTCAATATTATTAAAAATAAAAAACTTCCCCCTTTCCTCCCTTGTAGCCAACCAATTTTGTTTCTGGCTTTACCTTTCTGTTTCTTCAATATAAACAAGCATATATATATAATATTATATATATACAATTATATATTATATTATATATATATATATAAAATATTTAAAATTGAGGGACAAAGGATCAAAATCCCAATGGAAAAAACATGTAAAATAATAAAGTGAATCTATTTTAGAAATATTAGCTATTACTCTGCATTATATGTGGTAAATATTTTCTCTCAGTTTGCTGTCTTTTTACTTTATGGTGTTTTTTAACCATGTAAAAGTTTTTGATTTTAAAAAATTTTAATGAAGTCAAATTTACCAATTTTTAATTTTATTACATCTGGTTTTAAATTGTAGTTAGAAAGTATTTCTCTTCACTAAGGCTACAGAAGAATTTTCTAATATTTTCTCCTGATGCTTGTATAGTTTTATTTTTTAATATTTAGACCCCTATATATTTGGAGTTTATTTTTGTGTATGGAGTGAGATATGCATCTACTTAATTTTTTTTTAATAAATAGCTTTTCAGTTGTCCCAGAACCATTTATTAAAATGTCCATCATTTATCTAGAGATTTGAGATTTTATCTTTATCTTAAACTCTTTATGTGTATCTGGGTCTACTTTTTGACATGCTATTCACTCCACAGGTGTGTTTGTCTATTGCTACACCACTACCCCACTGTTTTACCTAAAGATGCCTTATTGTATATTTTATTTTTTATACTTAAAGTTGGACTTGTGAAGCATTTTTTTTTTAAAGTTACTGTCTTGGGTCTTAGTTGCAGCATTCTGAATCTTTCATTGTGGCAGGTGGGCTTAGCTGCCCCTCGGTGTGTGGGATCTTAATTTCCCAACCAGGGTTTTTACCCACGTCCCCTACATTGTGGGGCAGATTCTAAACCAGTGGGCCACCAGGGAAGTCCTGATTGTGTATTTTAATGTCTTATCAAACTATTTTTCCCTTATAGTTTTTCCTTTTTAGTGATTTCCTGGCTATTCTTTTAAAAAATATTTATATTTATTTGCTTAGCTATACCAGGTGTTAGTTGCAGTATGTGGGATCTTAGATCTTCACTGAGGCATGGTGTGGTATGTGGGACCTAATTCTCTGACCAAGGATCACATCTGGGTCCCCTATACTGGGAACTCAGTGTCTTAGCCACTGGACCACCAGGAAAGTCCCTGGGTGTGCTTTCTTGTTTTTTAACAGATTGATTCTGTTGTTTTCCTTTCTCTGGAGAAGTTGAACACTGCTTGTATACCCAATACCAGCATCTTTGGGAATCCCTTCCCCCACCCACTCTAAGCAAGCCTCTAAGGAGGTTTTCCCTTGTGCCCAAATCCAAATGCTCTCACCAGGCACACTCCGAAATTCATTCCTAGGCATTCTTGTCCTAAGGACGATAAGGGAGGCAGCCAGGGCTGAGTGTCCCAGAAAAAGCAAACGCACAAGGGAGCATGCACCCTCACCACCTTGGCAATAAGTTGGACTGGGCTTTCAGGGCTTGGAAGGCCCCTTCCTGGCAGCCACGTGAGAGCACAGGAGAGGTGCCTGCATCTGTCTCCAAAGGGCTCCCCTATACTTGCTTAGCCACTGCTTCCACACTGCTGAAATAGAGGTACAAAAAATACCATAAAGTCCAACCCATTTGGGGGCATTTATCTCATACAACACTCCACATATTCCCCCTCCCCACCAAATATGCAAAAGCAAGATAGATTCCCAAACTGAGTGCTTAAATCTCAACCCAAAAGATTACTGCTGTCTACAACCTCAGCCTCAAGGATGCATTTTCCAAAACTCAATGGCTGAGAATGAGAATATATTCTGAAGAGCTCTTGTCATCACACTCAACACTAAAGAAAATTTGAGAAAACAGTTAAGTCAGTTTGCATGTATCATTTGGACCAGAAATCATGTTTAAAAATGGAACATCATCCTGCTTTTGGGGACCAAGGGCACAGTCTGGCATATATGTGATCACGCTAGACCAAAGAAGCATGCTAATTTTATATATTTGAGTTAAAGGAAGATTTGTAGATTTGTCCATACTACAAGTAAAACTTGCCCTGTGGATTACCCGGACCTCTCGGAACAACCGCAAATGAAAACTCCAGTGCACATCTGACACTTTCACGCTGGAGCTCACCCCACCCTCACCCCTACTCCCAGGTCCACCCCTTTTGCATTGAAAACAAATGCATTGCAGCTAAGGACCATATCACAAATGATCTCTGTAGATTCATAGGCACATTGTCCATTTCGAGTGAACGAATCCACCTCGGATCTAAAAGGGAACTGTTTGTGCTTCTGCCTTCTGACAGGTAGATAAGCTATTCCCATTTTACAGAGGAGATTAATCTAAACCACAAGTCAGGAGTGTCAGAAAGGCTTTATCATTGACTGAGGGCTGTAGTGACAACCGCAGAGGACTGAATACGATTCCAACGTATGAGGCGCATGAAACAAAGGAGGAACTGGGCGATCACGAAGGCAGACATCTGAATATGCTAAGGAATCAGCTTCACCATGAAAAAATCATGCAGCTAGAGTTCCAAGCCAGAGATACACAAATAAATCCTGTGTGAAACAAGGATGTGGGGAAAGGCGAGCCTTCTGGGGGCGGGGGGAAGCGGGGTGAGGGGACAATTGGGTGAAAGGGACCCAAGGGATTTTCAAGTTTATGCTTAAATTCCTGGTGAGGTAAGTTGTGTCTTCCGATTCTATTATATGTTTTTTTTTTTTTTTCCTGACACTGTTATGGAAACAAGGTGACTTTAGTCAACAACATTCCTCCGGTGGCAAGACAAGTAAGATACACTGCAGAGGCAGAAGCGCTGGGATCAAGGTCTTTCATGCTCCCGCAAACGCGCAGGCCGGTGCGTGAGTTTCGGGAACAGACACAGCGTGGCTGGGTTCCCGTCAGGGATTCATCAGATCCCCTGGCCCGACGGCGAGACGGTTTCCTGCAGAACGAGGTGCAGGAGGTGGTTCTGCTCGGCGCTCAGCAGGGGCCACATCTCCACCTGCAGCGACTTGACGGCCTCCGTGTCCTTCTCGTGCGTGGCCATGACCAAGGACTGAAGCAGCAGGAACAGCTCCTCGGGCAGCGGGCCGCTGCTGTCCTGCCCGTGGCCGTCGAAGGCCTCCCAGGCATACTTCTCCAGGGTGTGCGCATGCTCCGGCAGGAGCTTGGCGGGCGGCGGCTGCAGGAGCAGCAGAAGCAGCACACGGGACACCTCGCAGCGGACCAGCACGTCGGCGAAGGCACCCAGCGCGGCCGGGACAGCGGTGGCCGGCGGCCCAGCGCCGGGAGGGAGCGGCGGGGCGAGGGCCGCGGGGGCGGCGGGCTGCGGCCCGGACGGCGGCGGCGGCGGGGGCTGCGGCGGGGGGCCGCCGAGCTCCCGCGCCAGGCGCTGCATACGCGTGAAGAGCGCCAGCGCGCCGCTGTAGTCCCGCGCCAGCAGCTGGCAGGACGCGGCGTGGCCAAGGGCCTGCAGGGCGGCCAGGGGCAGCTGGGGCAGTTGCAGCTGCGCGGCGCGCTGGAAGTGGCCAGCAGCAGCGGCCGGCTGGCCCAGGTCGCGCAGGGCGGCCGCCAGCTCAAGGCAGAGCGCGGCGGCCGCGGCCGGCTGCCCGAGCTCCAGGTACAGGCGCACGGCGGCGCCCAGCGCGGCGGCGGCGGCCTGCAGGGCCTCCCCAGCAGCGGCGGGGCAGGCCAGGCGTTGGCGCGCGTCGCGCTCCTGCCGCAGAAAGAGGCGCGCGGCCTCGGTCAGCGCCAGCGCTTCGCCAGGCCCGTGGAAGAGCGCCTGTTGGCAGCGCGCCACCGCTAGCTGGCACCAGGCCGCGTACGGCAGACACTCCTGGGCGCGCAGCTCGCGGCCGAGCTGGGCGAACTGCTCGCCGGCCTCCGCCACGTTCGGCTTCCGCAGGAACCGCTTCTTGAGTTTGTTGGATACCTGGCGGTAGCGCGCCAGGAAATCCCCCGGCTCAGGCCCCGGGCCCGCGCCACCGCCGCCCAAGCCGGCCGCGGAAGCCGCCATCTTCACCGCCCCGGTGCTTGCAGGCGCGCTGACGCAACCGGGCGGCTACGTGCCCTGCGTCCGGCTCAGGCCCACAGCGGGACGGCGCCGGCGCGGCGTGATATGCAAAAGAGCGGGCGCGGAAGTTGGGCCGTGATTGGCTGCCTGCGCCGTATGCAAATAGAGGGTGCTGGGCCAGCCATGGCTGGGAGCCGGCTGTTGCTAGGTGACAGCTTGCTCCCGCAGGTTGCCAAGCAGAGCATCTCCTGGAATCTCTAAAGGCACACGACCAAAAAGTTATCTGGTGACCCCGCGTGACCCTGCTTCCGACTTTGCATAATTGAGGTTTGTGTCCTGTACACTCCATCGCCATCCCGCCACAGTCTTGCGGTCTAGGCCCCTGCCCCCATGGGCATCTAGGCCCTACCCCCATGGGAACCCCTCTCAAGCACACTGTCCACCATCCCTGCATCCCACGCCTCGGGGCGGTCTGTCACCTTGGCACCTTCACCCTACCACGACGCCACACTCTCAATCTTGAGTGTCACCACCAGGACCCCGGTCCCTCTGGGGACTTGGCCTGCCTCCTACTTGCTCAGAGCCAACGGGGGAGCCTTCTTTCCCCGGCCTCCCCCCAGACCCCACTCCACCGCAACCCTGGCGCAGCCAGCCTCTCCCACCAGGGCCACTGCATGCGCTGTCACCATGGGCGACCGCTCCTCTCTGCCTGCCATCCCCGACTCCATCTGTACCCACAACACTCCCCGTCTGCTCCAGCCAGACACCCGATCCCCACCTCTCCAAGGAGAGGTGTTCCACAACCACTTCCCAGGCCAAGTGATTGAAGCACACACACTGATGTCTTGAAACACTTTGATTCGTTATGACTGGGCCTGAGGCACCAGGCTGTGCGGTCAGTCAGTGAGCAGGCCTGGCGCCCGACAGCCGGTGGAAGGCCCATCCAGGTGCCGGAGACCCGTGACTCAAGACCCAGGTGTGGTTGAGCAGCTGGTGCTGGGCTGGGGCCACCAGGGTGATGGTTGTCATCCCAAAAGAGCTGCTGAGCAGAGCATTGTGTTGGACCGCCATGCCCACCAGCTCTGGGGTGATGCGCCTCTGACCACTGTTCTGGGCCTCATTGCCTGCCAGCTCCAGGACCTTGGCAATTAGGTGCTGCATGATGGCTGCTAGGAAGATGGGTGGGGAAGAGCTCAGGCGCTGGGAGTAGTGGCCTTCCCGCAGGAGGCACTTCATGTAGCTCACGGAGAAAGACAGCAAGACAAGGGCGGTGTGGGAGCGGCCAGACGACCTTCGACGGCCCCTTTTCCTTGGCATGCTGACCGTTGAGCCCGCTGTCTCCGAGGCCTTGCTTTGCGGTACGGTGGGATGAGATGCAGTGGGGTGAGATGAGGCGGGATGAGTCAGCTGGTCCCATCCTCTCAAGGCAGCTGGTACTCTCAGACCTCGACTCTGTATCCGAGCAACCGTGGGCCGGCCCCTCATTGGTCAGGGTGCACAGTCTGTGACAGGCAGACTCCCTGAGGTTGCCGATTTCCCATGCCCCCCACCCCACCCCCACCCCCGCAGGCCTGGGCCTGCAAAGACATGGCGCTGGCAGGACCCAGCTCACCCTGCCCATTGGACCCTCTCTTTGTCAGAACGCTCCCTTTCCAGGGGAGGAGACCTTTGTACAGAGAAGGCAGCAGACCACCCAGTGGCACCAAGTGTACAATGGCGGTGCTGGGCCACCATCACCACTGTGTCTAGAATGTTGGCACCACCACAAAGAGAAACCCCTGTACCGGCCAGGCACTCACTCCCCACTGCCTCCTCCTGCAGTTTCCCCCACCGCACCCCCATAGTCCTCAGGCAAGCACTCATCAGGTTCCTGTCCACAGCCCTTGGCCTGTTCTGTCGACTTCCTAGAGGTGGAGGCATACAATAAATAGGTGGCCTTCTGTGTCTGGCTGCTGTCACTGAGCATAGGGCCCATGCCCGTGGTGGCACAAGTCAGCACTTCTTTCCTTTCCTGGCTGAATAGTATTCCACTGTATGGCTAGACCACACATGTTTTGTATCTGCTCAGCAGTGGACGGACATTTGGGTAACTTCTCCCTTGTGCCTACTGTGGTGGACATTCCTCTATGGGGTTCTGTGTGAATGCCTGTTTTCAACTCTTTGGGATGTATGCCCATGAATACACTTATGGGTTTATTTCCAGACTCTTAATTGTATTCCACTGATCTATGTGTCTATCCTTATGCTAGTACTACACAGTTCTGATAGCTGTAGTTTTGGAGTAAGTTTTGAAATCTGGAAGTAGGTGTCCATCATGCCTTGGTACACTGTCCCAAAATATATATTGTTAGTCTGTTTCCTGGCCTTCCTGAAAGGGACCTAGAGGTTTTTAGTGAGTGTGATTTTGAATTAGGAGAATACCTTTTGGGGCCTATTGGACACTGGCTCTGATCTCACACTAATTCCAAGATGCCCCAAGTGTCATTATGGTCCATCAGTCATAGTAGGAGCTTATTTTAGGTCTAGGGATCAATGAAATTTTAGCTTAGGGCCATCTCCATTGGGTCAAGTGTGAACCCAAACCAATCCCATGCTTATCTATACAGTTCTGGAATGCAAAATAGGATAGACATATTCAGCAGCTGGCAGAGTCCACAACTCATCTGTTCCCTGACCTGCAGAGTGAGGGCTATTTTGGCATGGAAGCAATTAGAATTGCCTCTATCTAGAAATATAGTAAACCAAATTGTTGCACATACCTGAGTGGATTTCAGTGATTTACAGTACCATCAAGGGCTACAAACATGCATGAGTGATGATTTTCTCCACATCCCTATTAAAGTAGCCTATTTGGCCTGTGCAGAAAACAGATGGTCTTGGAGAATGAGAGTGGGTTTTCGTTAGCTTGACCAGGTGGTAATTTCAATTTCAGGTGATGTACCTATGTAGTTTAATTGCTTGAGCAAATTGACATCTCCAGTGCCATGCTACCTGCCCCCTTCATGGATCACAGCCTTGTCATGGTGAAGGCACTTGCATAACTCAATGAAGCTATGATCCACGCCATGCAGGCCCACTGAAGACGGATCAGTCATATTGGAGAGTTCTGACATATTGTGGTCCACCGGTAAAGGAAATGACAACCCACTCCAGTATTCTTGCCTCAAGAACTCCATGGACTATAGGAAAAGGTAAAAAGATATGACACTGGAAGACGAGCTCCCCAGGTTGGAAGGTGTCCAATATGCTACTGGTGAAGAGTGGAGGGCAATTACTAATAGTTCCAGAAAGAATGAAGTGGCTGGGCCAAAGCAGAAACAACTCTCAGTTGTGGATATGTCTGGTGCTGAAAGTTAAGTCTGATGCTGTAAAGAACAATATGGCTAGGAACAATATTGCATAGGAAGGTGAGGTCCATGAATCAATTTACATTGCATGTGGTCAAGCAGGAGATGGCAAGAGAAAACATCGACATCTTAGGAATCAGTGAACAAAATGAACAGTTGGAATGGGTGAATTTAATTCAGATGACCATTATATTTACTACTGTGGGCAAGAATCCCTTAGAAGAAATGGAGTAGCCCTCATAGTCAACAAAAGAGTCTGAAATGCAATACTTGGGTGCAATCTCAAAAATGACAGAATGATCTCACTTCATTTCCAAGTAAACCATTCAACATCACAGTAATCCTAGTCTATACCCCAACCACTGATGCCAAATAAGTTGAAGTTGACTAGTTCTATGAAGACCTACAACACCTTCTAGAACTAACACCAAAAAAAGATGTTCTTTTCATCACAGGGGATTGGAATGCAAAAGTAGAAACTCAAAAGACACCTAGAATAACAGGCAAATTTGGCCTTAGTGTACAAGATGAAGCACGGCAAAAGCAAAGAGAATTTTGTCAAGAGAACACACTGGTCATAGAAACCACCCTCTTCCAACAACACATGAGATGACTCTACACATTGACATCATCAGATGGTCAATACTGAAATTAAATTCATTATCTTTTTTGCAGCTAAAGATGCAGAAACTCTGTATAGTCAGCAAAAACAAGACATGGAGCTGACTGTGGCTCAGATCATGAGCTTCTTATTGCAAAATTAGGCATAAGTTGAACAATGTAGGGAAAACCAATAGGCCATTCAGATATGAAAAAAGTGAAAGTGAAGTCGCTGAGTCATGTCCGACTCTTTGCCACTCCATGGATTGTAGCCCAAGGAATTTTCCAGGCAAGAGTACTGCAGTGGGTTGCTATTTCTTTCTCCAGGGATTTTCCTGACCCAGGGATCAAACCTGGGTCTCCCACATTGCAGGCAATGGTTTTACCTCGGAGCCACCTGGGAAGCCCCTAACCTAAATCAAATCCCTTATGATTATACAGTGGAGGTGATGAATAGATTCAAGAGATTAGATGTGGTAGACAGAGTACCTGAAGGACTATGGATGGAGGATAATAACATTGTACAGTAGGCAGTGACCAAAACTATCCCCCCAAAAAAGGAATGCAAAAAGGTGAAGTGGTTGTCTGAGGAGGTTTTACAAACATCTGAGAAAAGAAGACAAGCAAAAGGCAAAGGAGAAAGGGAAAGATATACCCAACTGAATGCAGAGTCCAGAGAATAGCAAGAAGAGATAAGGAAAACTTATTAAATGAACAATGCAAATAGAGGAAAACCACAGACTGTGTGGATCACAGCAAACTGTGGAAAATTCTTAACGTGATGGGAATACCAGACCACCTTACCTGTCTCCTGAGAAACCTGTATGCAGGTCAAGAAGCAACAGTTAGAACCAGACATGGAACAACAGACTGACTCAGAATTGGGAAAGGAGTGTGACAAGGATGTATATTGTCATTCTGCTTATTTAACTTATACACAGTGTACATCATGTGAAATGCCTTGCTTGATGAATCACAAGCTGGAATCAAGATTGCTGGGAGAAATGTCAGCAACCTCAGATATGCAAATGATACCACTCTAATGGCAGAAAGCGATGAGGAACTAAAGAGCCTCTTGATGACAGTGAAAGAAGAGTGAAAAAGTTGGCTTAAAACTGAATATTAAAAAAAACTGAATTCATAGCATCTGCTCCCATAATTTCATGGCAAATAGAAGGTGAAAATGTGTATGTAGTGACAGTTTCCCTCTTCTTGGGCTCCAAAATCACTGTGGATGGTGAGTGCGACCATGAAATTAAGAGATGCTTGCTCCTTGAAAGAAAAGTCATGATAAACCTAGTTCAGTCCAGTTCAGTTCAGTCGCTTAGTCATGTCCGACTCTTTGCTACCCCATGACCTGCAGCACGCCAGGCCTCCCTATCCATCACCAACTGCCAGAGTCTACCCAAACCCGTGTCCGTTGAGTCAGTGATGCCATCCAACCATCTCATCCTCTGTCGTTCCCTTCTCCTCCTGCCCTCAATCTTTCTCAGCATCAGGGTCTTTTCAAATGAGTTAGCTCTTCACATCAGGTGGCCAAAGTATTGGAGTTTCAGCTTCAGCATCAGTCTTTCCAATGAACACCCAGGACTGATCTCCTTCAGGATGCACTGGTTGGATCTCTGTGCAGTCCAAGGGACTCTCAAGAGTCTTCTGCAACACCACAGTTCAAAGGCATCAATTCTTTGGAGCTCAGCTTTCTTTATAGTCCAACTTTCACATTGATACATGACTACTGGAAATACCATAGGCCTTGACTAGATGGACCTTTGTTGACAAAGTAATGTCTCTGTTTTTAATATGCTATCTAGGTTGGTCATAACTTTCCTTCCAAGGAGTAAGTGTCTTTTAGTTTCATGTCTGCAATCATCATCTGCGGTGATTTTGGAGCCCAGAAAAATAAAGTCAGCCACTGTTTCCCCATCTATTTGCCATGAAGTGATGGGACCGGTTGCTGAATGTAGAGCTTTAAGCCAACTTTTTCACTCTCCTATAGAAAAGGCAGAGGAACCAGAAATCAAATTGCCAACATCCACTGGATCATCAAAAAAGCAAGAGAGTTCCAGAAAAACATCTATTTCTGCTTTATTGACTATGCCAAAGCCTTTGACTGTGTGGATCACAATAAACTGTGGAAAATTCTTCAAGAGATGGGAATACCAGATCACCTGACCTGCCTCTTGGGAAACCTATATGCAGGTCAGGAAGCAACAGTTAGAACTGGACATGAAACAACAGACTGGTTGCAAATATGAAAAGGAGTGTGTCAAGGCTGTATATTGTCACCCTGCTTATTTAACTTATATGCAGAGTACATCATGAGAAATGCTGGGCTGGAAGAAGCACAAGCTGGAATCAAGATTGCTGGGA